ATGCTTTTTTATTTCTTTTTTTTGGGGGGGGTGGGCGGGCATTGCTTCATTCTTCAGTGTCACTTGATCCTTTAGAAATCATTCTAATATTCAGATTTTATGCTCAACATTTATTCGATTATCAACAATTTTTATCATTTTTGTGGAAACCGTACTACATTTTTTTCATTCTTTGATGAATCGAAAGTTCAAAAGAACAGCATTTATTCAAAAATGTCTTTACCGTCACTTTAGATCAATTTAGAGCCTCCTTATAATAGTGTAAAAGTATTATTTTATTTAAAAAAAATGGCCCTAAACTTTTGAACGATGTGTATTTCTGTTAGTGTACACATGGTAACGTTCAGCATCAGGTTTACTTTATTGCATTTCGATTACCTTTGCCATCATCTAAAGTTCACTGCAAGTTAACCTTTAAATTGAGTAACAATAACAGCTAATGTAATTTAGCAAATTTCAAAATGATTATCAGTTTTTAATACTGTACATTATAATGTTGTTGGGCCTAAATTCACTTCTAGCACTTGTAATGTATTTATCGAAAATACAAATAAGAGTTTAAAACCATCATTCATTGGTTGTCAGCCATAACAGGTAACACAGCAGATAGAATTCTAATTGACTTAAATAGACCTTTTAATAGCCACATACAGACTGTAATAAAGTATTATTATGATTAATTAAATAATTCATGTTGTCATGTATTATATTATCATGCACTGTTCAGTCTCATTCACCATTTTTTTGGGCCTGTTTTACCCTCAGCGCAACAAGACTTGTGATTCGGTAGCAAGCTGTGAGGGAGACCCGAGAAGTCTTCCTCAACCCAGTCAGGCACGTAGAGGCAAAAGCCGCATTCCCGCTAACCCAGACATGGTGAGGGACACCAGTTTGGAGTTGGTGAGAGAGAGACCTGACGACGGCCTGTCTCCAAGCCATCCCCAGGTCCTGGAGACCCCCGAGTCCCTGAGCGATTCCCTCTATGACAGCCTGTCCTCGTGTGGTAGTCAAGGCTGAAGTGTTTTCAAAAGGAACTGAATGATAACCAGGTACAACCTTCAGATATTTTTCAAAGGTGGATACTTACGAGATAACCCATTTTTTTTGGACCGAAAAAAATCCCACGCCACACGTTACCCACGAAATACCCACGTTTCTATCCTGATGGTTGCAAGAAGGACTTTTTACAGTGTGTTTGTGGTGGTGTCATTTTAGCCCATTATATCATCTCATTCGTGTTCTCTGTTTCAAGTGGTAGCAAAAGGTAGTGACGTTCGACTCCTATTATCTTTAAATTACGTTTCAAGGACGAATCCGTGCTCATCGCTACAGTCTTCCAGTTTTCAATCTCACAGAATGTTCTGGTTCTCATGCAACATCAGTGCACACACTCTTTGGTAACATTTGTGTAAAGTTATTGGAAAGTGAATGTTAATATATGTGATTTTCAATTAATTTAATATGCATATTTCATAAAAATAAAAAATAAAAACGCATCTGTGTAAAACTGCATCAGCCGTAGACTTTTGATTCATTGTTTAAAGAAAAAAAAAAAACTTGTAGCAGCAACATACAGTAAGAGCGATCCATATAAGACAGAGCTACAGTGTTCCGCGGTGAATTATTATTTACGTTTATTTATTTATTTTCTTTGAATAGTGTGGTAAGACAAGACCACCTTTTATTGGTTACTCCTTTTAAGTTTTGTTCAAACATGTTCTGTGCCTGACTTTGTGTGTACGTGTCTCGCTGTGTGTCTCTAGGTTAGTTTGTTCTCCAGATCTGGCCATGACTTGTTTTTTTGTGTATGCTACCTTTTGTTTTGCAACAATTTAAAGAAACTTGTGACTCGTGATCTAACTTTGAACTGTGTATTGTTAGATCACCCTGCTTACAATCAGTGAACAAAGCTTAAACTTAAACCCAGGATTTCTTTATCCCAGTTTGGCTCTGACTAGACATGAGAGAAAAATCATCAACGTTCCATGCGAATTTTGAAAAGGTGGCTGACGATTTCTTAATGTTGATGTAATAATGCTGACTCTGCCTTACGCATCTTTCCACAGCTGTTAGAAATTAACCTCCTGTGGGCCAGGTTTCCCCACAATTTTTTTTTTTCCCCAGATTTTTTTCCCCACAAACCCGTCGTATTTCTTCAGCCCAAAGCATTTTGGTGCAATTCAAGTCAAGATGCATTGCATGCGTTTGACGATGCTAATCCTGCGAAATGGATTACAGGCAAAAAAAACTTTTCATTTTCAAGTGGTTGCTCAAAAAGCCATAGGTTAGTAGTTTAAAAAGTACAATCTTTTCTAATCTGTGTTGACCTCAATAGCTGTTTTTTTACGAAACGACCACAACAAAAGACTAATTAGAAACATTCCCAAGCATATATGCTTTGACATCCAACAGTCTTTCCAGGCCTGTGTAAAATTTTTGTAGAGATAAATGAACTTTGTAGTCATCCTCAATCTTATACGCATGTCATTCTTGATTTGTCACAAAATCTTTTGTTTTATTTTTTATAAGTAGTTTGTGTTACTATCGTAGTTCCCTGATTTGCCTGCCGTTATAACCTTTGTTATTTACTTTGTTGTAATTGTCAGGAATATTTTATATTAGTTTGGTATGTTTACAAAAGAATTTATGATGAAGTTGTTAATATATCTGTAAAATGTTTATATAAGGTGCTATCTGATTTTTGTTTTCACTCTATCCTGCAAAAGCCATAAATGTGTTTTCATAATATCCTTTCTAAGCAATCGCCATGACTCATGCAACTCAATAAAACCTTTTTAAGTATGTTTGTGTGCTGTATTTATTACAGAAAATGTGACATACATGTCTTCATATAAACTTAGATGGATTCTGCTGCCCCTAGTGGTCAGAACAAGGATGTACAAGTTACCTGTCAGATGATTGAAACGACTTAAAATATATGATGCACCCTATTTGGCATCAGTTTATCAAACCGCAAAATGAAGATTATTTTAGGCTAAGAAATCCAAATGCTTGTTTTGTGGCGTTTCATCTTTCAGAAGTGGATGTCTTGAATTTGAATGCTGTTTACATGCTGTTTGAATTCTGTGCAGCTATGTATAAGGTTATTACTATTATTAATAATAGCTTACAGTGGCTCAATAAGACAATACGCACACAACATTTACATAATGTCAACAGAAAAATTTATTGTTGCAAATACAAAAGTCAAAAACGTGGCAACAGATCTTATCAGGGTTTTTTTTTTTTTTAAACAACACAATGCGCTTTTTTTTTTTATAAAACATGGCCATTTTGAATATTTGTGCTACAGTAAAAACAACTTATAATATAAAAACATGGTCATGTTCAAATAATATAAGATGGAGTACAGAGGTGGCGCGTGTGGTCTGCATCGACAGACAGTATCATACAAAGACGGACAATTCAAGTTCAATTCAGGTTCAACCAAATATACACATACATGACAGTACAAGTAATTGTCTGCATAAATACAGCAAAGAGAAAGACAATTACTGAAGATAAATCTCTTTGGTTCATTCTGTGGTGTTAATTCTGCTCCTCACGTATCATAAAACCCCATAATGTACACTTGAAGCAGACATAAGGCCACTTTAAGATTGAATACAGGAAGTGTCAAGATAAGCATGTAGTTGTAATTCACATAAAACAGGTATTTTGTAAGTAATGCCATGTTAACGCACCTCAGCAACGGTAAAAAAACTGCAGTTTAAACAAGGCCTTGTGTAAAGTAATAAGACTGATCAGAAACAAGGATGAATGAGTGCTTGGTGTCACATTTGCATTTATGGAAAAAGTATGCATAGCCTGTTGGATAAGACTGTATGTATTCCTGTGGCATTTTACGCCTGAATCTGGAATACATTAGAAACACTAGTTTTTCTTTAAAGTATGAATATGAATGTTGAAGATTAAAAAGTGTGAGGTTGAGTTCAGGTAGGACTTTGCATAGAAAGACTGGCCTGAAAGTTTATTGTGCTTTGTTATTTGCTGAGCTGTATAACATAATTGCAGATTAAGGATGACCTGCCCTCTGAACAGTTTTAATCTCCCAAATAATGTAATTTTAAATGAAAAAAAAAGGTTAATAACAAAAAATAGAAAAGTAAAAAAGGAATATAAAATCTGTAAATTGTTATTGCAAAATTCAAGCTCGATGGCTGAGACAAAGCTGGCTTCTGTTCTAACTGTTTAAGGTCCTCAAACCTTGTAGCAGAACTGCATATACTTTGTGCTGAGCAGGATTCTGAGCTTTCGTGTTTGTTTTCAGGTCAGAAGACGGAGTCTCTTGTCATATGAGCCGCTCGCGTGTGACTGGCAGTCAGTGCTACACAACGTGGAGGTTTACCCAGGTCTGGTGGTGTAGGGATTATGGACCCCTGAGTTGTTCGAGTCTGCTGTAGACATCATCAGCCTGACTTAACTCTTCAAATACTGGGATGAGGTGAAGCAGCTCCGTGTCCTCCAAGTCATCAAACCAGGACAGTACAGGAACCTGTTAAAGGCACAGAGGTTATTATAGTAATTTATTTATCTAATTTATAGTCATTTTGGGATAATTTAAATCTACTGGGTTTATGTATTTTAAAACCATGAAGATCATTTTGGATGGTGGTACATCAATCATTTTACATATACTGTAGGGTCCGATAGTCTGCAATGAAAATATTCAAAATATAATTTTAATCAAAGACATTGTAAAATTTGTCAATATAATTTCAAATGTTCTGCTTTTAAACATTTGTTAATATACACATATTTGATCAAATATATATATATATATATATAGAATGTAATATATATTTGTTTCTATTTAACATATAATACATTAGCATTCAAAAATTTGGAATCATTTATTTATTTAACTTTTTATTTTTTAAAAGATGTTTATGCTCAGTGCTGCTATTTATGTTCAATAATGTCAACTATTATTACAATTACAAATAACTTTTCTATTTAAATTTATTTTCACATTTTTGCCATCACATCCTGTAATGGCAAAGCCAAATTTACAGTAGCCATTACAAAAGAGTAAGTTTAAAGAACAGCATTTATTTGAAACAGAAATATTTTTTAACATTGTCTTTACTGTCATTTTTTTTATTGGTTTAATGCATCCTTGTGGACTAAAAAGTATTAATTTCTTAAAAATAAAATAAAAATTCAGTTATCAAACCTTTGAATGGCGGTATATATACATTACATATACTGTGTATGAGACTTTTGGACCCCACTGTATATATGTAAAATACAGCAAAAATAAACAGTTGTTAAAGGGATAGTTCACCCAAAAATAAAAATTCTGTCATTAATTACTCACCTTCATGTCGTTCCAAACCCATAAGACCTTTGTTCATCTTCGAAACACAATTTAAGATGTTTTGGAAGAAATGCAAGAGCCCTCTAACCCTGCATAGACAGCAATGCAACTGACACATTCAAGACCCAGAAAGGTAGTAAGGACATCGTTAAAATAGCCCATGTGACATCAGTGGTTCAACCTTAATTTTATGAAGCTACGAGAATACTTTTTGTGCGCAAAGAAAACAAAACTAACACATTTATTCAACAATTTCTTCTCTTCCGTATCAGTTTTGACGCACATTCACGACAGTACCCCAACGCATCCGGGTTCTACATCAGAACGCCAGCTCCTGCATCAAGCAGCATCACACGCATGTGTCGTGGTACGGTCATGAACGCGCAGCAGAGACCGACACGGAAGAGAAGAATTGTTGAATGAAGTCTGGGTTTTTTTTGTTTCGTTTTCTTTGCACACAAAAAGTATTCTCGTAGCTTCATAAAATGAATGTTGAACCACTGATGTCACATGGGCTATTTTAACAATGTCCTTACTACCTTTCTGGGTCTTGAATGTGCCTGTGCAGGGTCAGAAAGCACTCGGATTTCATCAAACATATCTTAATTTGTGTTCCAAAGATGAACAGAGGTCTTACAGGTTTGGAATAACATGGCACTAACTAATAACAGAATTTTCATTTCTGGGTGAACTAACCCTTTAAATAGCAAGAGGGAGAATCTAGAAGGCAGGCTTTAACAAAAACGCTAAATAGCGGCAGGACAGTGAAACCCACAGCATTCTCGGGGTGGAAGATGTAGGAGGCAGGGGAGTTGTCCAGGATCAGGGTTTTGTGGAGCTCACGGCCGAGGCGACTCAGGTCTTTAACATAGCAGCCTTGATAGAAGACGCAAGATTCACGGAAGAGGCGTGTGCGGAACACGCCACACTGATCCAGCAGGTCAGTCACAGGGTCTGCATACTAACAGCCATGAATGAGGACAAGGAGGGATGGGTTAAAGACACTTTGTTACTGGAGAAGAAAATAAATCTAACACTACAGGAGCATAACTGACCAGCACTAGTGAGGAATTTCTATTTCCCGAAGCTCCTAATAATGAATACCTTAGCAAGGCTGGCAGTGAACAGAACACATTCAAACAGTTCTCCCATCCTCTGGAGAAACTCATCCACGTATGGCCTCTTCAACACATACACCTAAAACACAGATGGGTTCGTTGTTGTTCATGTGACTAATGATTTTAATTCACCATTCAAATGTAGAGGCTTTAGAGTTGCAACATTCTGTAAATAAAATTAATCACAAAATGTTCTGTAGATCCATTTAGTGCTGTCGCTCGTAGCCTCCTCCTGAAACAAGTAATCAAGAATAGGCCGTACTAGTGGGAACTAACCTATCCTGGATTACTTGAACCAGGCAGAGGCCAAATGCAGTTAAATAAATGAATTAATGGGCAATCTTGTGATTGTGCGCTGATGTCACAATCTGAAAAGTTGCTCTTACATCAGTCCAGCAGATGGCGCTCATCATTCACTTTTAAATATACTACATTAACATCTCCACTCTCCTCCAGCACAATTCAAGTCAGTGCGCACTGGCAGGGGATTACTGCTGTTTCTCACATACACAAACATTTATCAGATCTCACCTGGTGTGTGGTCCCCTCAATGTCCACAGGCACAATGAAATCTGCATTGCTTATTGGCTACAAAAACAATGTGGATACGGTTAAAAACACCAGTGGAGTGATAAACTGTTATTAACACAGTTGTTTGCATGCCAATAATTGTTGCTTACATGCAATAATTACAGTACAGCTAATATTTCATATGCACCTATTCTTAGTTACACAGTATGAAGCTCCTTAAAATTACAAATTTACAATATCAATCAGTGTTAATAACCTGGGTGTACCTTAAAGGAGCTATGCACCAGTGTTTCATCCAGATCTATGATCACACAGATCTTTCCCTGGTCCTGAGAGGTCACTGCTGGCAGTAGACACTCTCCTGGTATCTACAGATAAGACATAACAGATCAATATTTTTTATTTCCTAATCATGCGGACTTTTAACTCAGTCAAACGACCAAAAAAAAAAATTAAAAAAAAAAAAACCCAGAGAAAAAAAAAATACATTGCATTGCCCCTTCATTGTCTGAACAGTACATTTAATTTTACACATCCAGATTACAATACATAATTATAATAATTTTATATGAAATATTTAGTATTTCTCTAGCCACACACACACACACAAACACACACACACTTCAAATAATATTAAATAATATATATAATAAAACAATTTGACAATGTACAGTTGTTGATTTACTTTTTTTTGCGAAATGACAATTTAACGATTGGCAGTTATTTCTAGTTAATCCTTAAAATGTTTCTTTCTTTATTTGTTTCATGTTTCAATGACACAAAATAAACTAGAACAAAAAGTGACAGAGTTGATTAATGGTTACTATAATACTTTGGCAATGGTCCCATTGTCCTCAGGCGCTAGCAAGGCATCATGGGTAGGTGATGTTGGCAGTTGGGCATCTTGAGCTCGAAGGCAACAGATGAGCTTTTTGAAGATATTCCTACTCCCAGGTTTCTGAGGCGAGCTTTTATTCACCTGATCTGTTTGAACACAATAAAGCAATTTTTTCAAATGCATAATTTGCATATATTAGTCCCGCTGATAATTGCATTGCATAAACATAGCATAAAAAGGCTCATGTTGCGTGGTTTATAAACAATCCCACTAAGTGCTACTGCCAAACCCCACCCAGAGCGCATTAGTAAATGTTAATAAATATTTTCAATGAACCACTTTAGTCTCCAATAGATGAAAAACAGAAACTTCAGCAACAGTCAGCTAGATACATTTGCATCAAATGCACCACTGAGCCTTGACAGTGCTCTTAAATAATTCAGAGCACTGGAATGAAATGTATGTTTTCGTCAGTAAATACGGCGCCTATCAACATCAAAATGACCAAATGCTCAGCCGCCCCTCTCCAGAGATGGCACAGAAAATCTGTTTTAAATGAGACTGCTGGCCACGGCTGGTATATGTTATATAATCTCAGAGGGCGGGAAAGCCCACACATTTCAGCTGTACCTTTGGAGCAAAACATACACACACTCTAACGCACTCACACACGGCTCCTGCCATTTCATCACAGGAGAGTCATGGCAGAAACAAGACCTAGAAGTCTTGTAGCCACAGAAATAAGATGTTTTGTAACACAACATCTGTAGCGGGCTTTGTTGTGCATTACCGAGGGACTCCTTGCATATTTAGGGGGCTTCTGCATACTTATGCTTGCAAATATCTGCATGTAAGTGAAACATGATTTTGTTCAGACATGCCTGTTGAGATTCCCAAGAAGAAAAAAAATAGACACAAAAGCTGTCGCAACATGAAAGTGCACCATGCAATGATTAGAATCAGTTTTTTTATTGCTATGGTAATGTAACTTCAGCACTACTAATGAATTGTTTTTTTCTCAGCTAAAGGAATTGACCGTGATGATGAGCAGGGGCTGATCCCAGGCACCTTTTCCCCCTCTCGTTCCCTATGGGAGCTTATGTAGCCATAGGAATCATCTTATGTAACATACGAGCAGCATGTACAGCAGAGGGAGGATGCGAGAAAATGGCCTCCTTCGTCATCATTTACTCTGTGCTGTATTTGTCCATCTGTACACTCGCTGATAATGCCCTGCTTAACAACACGACTCAGGAAATGGAGTACAAGGAAAATGTATCCATGAATTCAAATGCACCTTCTTGAAAACATTTTTCACATGAGGATGGAGCGATACTGCCGAGCATTTAGAGCGGACTGGAAAGGGTGTTTTGTTAAGGACCGTCAAAGGTTCTGCTAGAAGCTTTTAAGTGGTCAGGGTTTCTAGCTATTACACTTCTGCTCAGACCTAATCTAATGAGATTGTGTGTGTGCTTTTTAATCCGTTTACCAAAAAACAGTTTAACTGCTGAATAAAAGAAACTTCTAATTTCATCCTCAGTGAATTGTCATCTATTTTCCTAGATAATAAAGATCTCCAAGGTGAATTAAATGGCAAGCACGGATTTGAGTTTCAAGGGATCGTGTGTAACTGGAGTCTAAGGAATCTGTTAAGAAAACAACAAGGTCTTGATATTTGTAATTAGACCAGTGGACAAAGTAACACAGAATTTTTTTTTTCTCAGTTGTTTTGCATGTATCTAATAGGTGAAGATCAGAAAACACTGGTATAACAGCAGCAATGTTTTCAATGTCTTAGATTTGCTCAAACCAGTTTTACACATATCGTATTATCAATACATATGGGAAGCTATTTTTCAGGCATTCAGATTGCTGTCTGAGCACTAATATAAACACAATTCTAATGCATTAAAATACATCAAAATTGTGTATCTAATAAAAAAAAAAAATCCTTAGAATGAAAATTCACTGAGCTCTTGAAGCACATGTATAGTGACTTAATAGTGATCAACATGCCTGGTATTTTTTTTATTTGATGATTTTCAGATTATCTGCTACCTGAGTGCATATTTAGTGTTTTCAAATATTTAATATATAACTGCAATTTTCTCATTTGCTATCATTAATTTGCGTTATGTACTGTATTGGCTTTATATCGGCAGTCTGTCACCCTACATATCAGCCTCAGTATCAGTTGTTGAAAAACATCCATACTGGATAACATTTATATTTAAACTAAGCATTGCTTTTATTGCCTTTCTTTATGAATTGCATTTTGATGTTATGATGTACATTAAACTAAACCAAACCACAGCTGCATACCGATGGATATTCAGCTAATGACAAAATGAGACATAACTGTCTACATTATACATTTCTAAGATTGAATCCTTGCTTGATTTGAATACCAATATATTCAACAAACTCATTTAATCTAATTCCACAAGGTTCTATAGCAAGGATATACAAACCTTTACATAAACATTGCAAACATTCTTAGCATTTGGTATCTGGTGTAGGGGTCAATGACGTGACTTGTACAGATCTATTAAAATGATTCAAAAACACTTTAAGAAATGCAGTTCATACAGAAATGACTTGAATATGGCTTCTATAATATTTTCAGATGCTAAATTAAAATGAATTAGATATTTTATTGTGAAGGTTAAGATAAAAAATGTCTACATAGTGTAGCTGTCTGGAGAATGTAAAAAAGAAAATTTAATTAAAAGGATTAAATTCTTGAAAAAATAATTGGTGGTAAAAGTAATTACATATAAATATTTGTTATTGTTTCTTAAAATAATATTAATAATATTTGAAAAACTGCTGACAGACAAATCAAAGTCAATGTGGCATAACAACAAGCAGGAAGCCATTTTGTTGCCATGTCACGAAACAGAGGACCCTTTTAGACCCTGACAAGTGTGAATTATAGCCATTTAGTTTGTTAAAAAAAAAAGACATTATATATGTATTTTTATATTTATATATTTTTGACCTTTTAAAGCATTTTTTATATTTATGACTCAAAAATTCATTATATTTTTACCTTGAAAAATATATTTGAAAATGTTTTTGAATTGAGTGCACTCACATGCTACGTGAAAATAAACTATTTTAGTGCTTTTTACTGGGTTGGGTTACACCACTTGATAGTTTCAGAGTTACGGAGTCTGAATATTTGCATAAAATGGTATAAAATGATTTTCAAACCATCATAAATACAAAGTTTATGTCTTAGACGCTAAATGGCACATATGTTTTAAACTATACTGGTAAATTGATTTAACCTTTTCATATTATTGTCTTACATACATATATTCACATCCCAAACACCATCATTTCTGAGAGTCTTTGCTGTTATAGCCACAAACAAAAAAGTCACACTGCACACTTTATGCCAGCGTGTACAAACTGAGTTCAAGGGGTCTTCAAGGAAATTCTGCAGACTTGGCTTGGCTATTTTCCCAACATTATGGCTGCTCGTAATTCACTAATCCAGAGATCGTAAACATCTGAAATAATACCCTAATTGACATCAGTGAAGTACAGTCATACTAGAACGACCGGTGTTTATATTGTTTTTGCGTTAGATCTATAATAAGCGCACAGCTCTGCGCTATTTACAAGGCTCACGATAAACAATGGCACGAACTGCGCGTCAAAACAGTGAGCAGATAGACTCGCCCGCCAGGTAGTAAGTAAGGGGTTACAAAATGGTTACTATGTAATTTTCCGCATAACACCGTGGCCTTTACTCGTTAAACGTCTAGATAAGGCCTTCGTTAACCGTTAAGGTTTACGCGTGTAATCGCAGCGTCGCGCGGCAGATGGAGGGCGTGTGCTGAGGGGTGTGTTGCGCATTCCAGCGCGGCACCTTGCGCTCTCCATTAGGCCGATGTTTTTCGACATTTCAACTCGATATTTGGTGTAGTTTTACTTCGGTAGAAGTGTGAGATGTGCTAGTGTAGGTAAGTCGATTAACGTAACCAGAAAATGTTTATGCAACACGATCTGCATAAGGTTAAAACAACATGTCACTCAATTTAACTTATCCATTAACCAAACGATGAAACGACGTCGACAAAAGAGGAAACAACATGCAACACGAATTAACTTGGCTGGATTGGTTAACGTTATATGTTTAAAACAATGTCCAAACATCAGAATCACATCTATTGCGTAAACGAAAAATAAATAATACATAAATAAAACACATACTTTCTTAATATACACTAAGGAGCCCAGATAAAAAGGGGAAAAAAAAAACATTAAAGAGAGAAAAACATGTCAACGTTTTCTAGTTAACGTTACACGTCGTCTGAAATTCTTAAAAAAAACATATTACGTAAACATTCAGAAATGCCTTACTGCAACAGCAAAGCATGTAACGTTACATGGTAAAATAAGTTAGACATGTATTTCTCTTTATTAAGCCATATACAAAACTGAGCAGATTTACATTTCGCCGTACGGAGCGGAATTCGTTAAGTTCCAACGGTTTGAACTTAACGTAACGAATTCCGCTCGCGACTGTGACATGTCAATCAGCTCGATATGACAAATAACTGTCATAGCGCGAGCGTCGAACACGCTCGAATCGCGCACCGAACAGCGCGACGCGATAACGCCAGACAGAGAATATGTAACCAGAAAGAGCTGACAGCGCTAAAACATAACCGTTTAGCATGTGACAGTGCGTTGCCTACCTGTTTTCGAAGACAACCGAGAATCCTCTCTCTGCACTTGAGTGATGACAGAACTTTCCATCTAACAAACGCACAGCCCTCAAAGTCCAACCAACCTTTTCCAGCGACAAACAGTCGGTCCGCATTTAGTGGCATTAAAAGCTAGCGAGGCTTGAAATGAATAATTTCCGTTCGCGCAAAAATATCTCAAACCTACGGCGACAAAATATTTTGATATTTATTTATTCCCGCCTTCTATTCTCTTCCACATGGGAGGGGCATGGCACTTTGTTTTGTTTTCTCTTATCTGCTATTTTCTAGGCTTCGCGTCTCGGTTTACTTTATCGCTTGTATATTTATCCATAGCCCCCTCTAGTCTTGGTAAAGCCCTCACTTTTTCTCCAACAACATGGAGAATCCAGGCGAAAGAAGAAAAACAACCGAGGACATGGGGCAATGACGGTTTCAAGTTCCCCTTACTACAGATAAACAACCCCGTAGCTGGGCAATATCCAAAATAGTATTTTTAAAAAATACACGACCAATTCGCTCAGGAGTAAAATGTAAGAAGAGAAGACGCGAAACTAGTCGATAATTTACGGTTTTTATGTTTTTCTGCGTATTGTTTTGCGTTGGACGGACTCGCAGGGGCGCCTTGAAACAGATGGGCGTTTCGGATTGGATCTCCAGGAAGTGGGAGTAGCTGAAGCATTCTTCTGTTCTGCACACTCCACACTGAAAACATTCCAGTGTTGGTTTTGACGCAAATCAGTAGTCAGAAGCGGTCATATTAATCTAAACTGCAGTGGCGGAATGCTCATTTAATAATGAGGAAATTGCAAAGGAAATTAGTAATGGGATTGAACGGGTAATATCTGAAAAAAAAAAAAAAAAACCTCGGGGGTTTTAAAAATGCATCACACCTAATCCACCTAATCATTTTTCTACTGATCCTCTTCAATATTGTAGTTGTGATGATGATGAAGTGGATTAATCAAGGCTATATATTGAGCAATTCAAAATATCTGTTTTTGTTGTCATTGCAGAATTCGAGTTACCTGTGGATTCTGTGCCTAAAAAAGGTAATTTAATCAAACATAAAAAATTGTCCAAAATTATAAGACAGTGATTCATAAAGTGGTATTTTATTGTGTTCGTTAACAAATAAATAAACTAGAGCACAATCAAGTTATTAAATTATTATTCAAAGTCGTTTATGTATATTTATTGAGTGCTAAATGTATTTTATTTGCTCAAATTAATGCAAGTGTAATGTAAATTCCAGCATGAGATTTCTTGGAGTATGACATCACTAAAATAAATTCACTAATTAGGTCATTAAACTTTAACATTAAAAATGAACAAAATAATCAAACTTCACAAAACCATGTTATAAGAACTTGTTTGCTTTGATAATAAGCTATTTCATGTCATGGTATGAAATAGTTGGTCAGAAAAAGCATCATTGTAAAACTGCAGTGGACAGCTGTGTGAAAAAATATATATGCATAATTTCTGAATTATGAAAACTTAATTGCCCTGTATAATGCCTTCCGCAACCCAGGTAGGTGTTAATTTAATGCAGTGATGGGCAAACTTGGCCCTTCCAGGCCACTTTCCTGCAGAGATTTGATCCAACCCTGATATGATTCACTTGCCTGTAGCCTTCTAGTAATCTTGAAGACAATGATTAGCTGGTTCAGGTGTGTTTGATTAGGGTTGGAGCTAACATCTGAAGGAAAGTGGCCTGGAAGTGCCAAGTTTGCCCACCCCTGATTTAATGATTGAATGATTTAATGAATTATTGTATAGCATCCAATTTGTTTGCAAACAATGTGAAATGAAAGCTGTGCTACTTCATTCTATGTTTCTACATTCTGTGTTTCTATCCATTTAAAAAAAAAAAATCATATATGGTAAATGTAAGTGATAAAAGGATAACAGGCATAGTTTGAGGTCTGAGTACTGCCCAGAACTCCTATGTTGGAGATCTATTTCTGACTATTCCCAAATGGGACCAATTCTACACCACAAAACCAAGACATAAACAACAAAGGTACCACTGTTTACATTCCTAGTTTTAGAAATGTGGAAGTTGTGCAGATGTCAGATGTGACAAAAATAAGTGTAAGCGGGAGAGCTCCGAAACATGTTCTGCTTTTTTTTTTGCAACTCTGCAGTGGAAGGCATGGAATCACAAAAAAGCCATTCTGTTTACAATGCATTATAATATCAAACCATACTATTTCAAACATTTTTTTTAAAAGAAGATAAAACATTAAAATATGCTTTTATGGTAAAATAAATTCTGCTTAAAAAATAGCAACACATTTTATTTTATTTTTTTTAATAACTACAATTTTCAGCCCAGTGTAAATGAAAGCTTCAGTCACACTTTAGTTTGGCGACTCATTGTCATATAACTATTACCTATTACTTTTACCTCAATAAAATCCTAATTTGCTGCTTATTTTTATTAATAGTTCGTAAGGTATTGCTGAGTTAAGTTTAGGTATGGGGTAGGAGAAGGGATCTAAATATGGTCATGCAGAATAAGGCATCAATATGTGATTTATAAGTACTAATAAACAGCCAGTATGCTAGTATGCATGCCAATAAGCATGCTAATAAGTTAATAGTAAGAACTGGTCCCTATAAACCAAAGTGTTACCAAAGCTTTTCTTACAGAAGCTTTAACACCTCTTCCTTGCTGTATACAGTGCCCCTTGTTTGTCCTGTTGACTAAACATTCCATAGAGGTCAAAACTGAGCGATAAAAAGACATTGTTAATGAAGCTTTATCTTGATTTACACAAGTCGAGCTGAGAGCTCTTTGTAAAATGATTTAATATTGAAATAATAGTTACAGCAAAGAAGCTGGTGTAAAAGACAGTCACTCAAGGTGCAAGTAATCATAAAAAGTATTTATGGAGGCTTTTCACAATTAAATTCTAATGATTCAAGAATTTTTGTCATTTTGTATAATTTGTTTTCACAAGAAAAAAGCATAAATATATTTCCATTACTCATTTAATTTCTTATCATTGAAATTTACAATACATAAAGAGCAAAAGTGTGTTCAAAGACTCAAGACCCAAGAACCAACATTTGGCTCTTAAAGGAAAAGTTCACCCAAAAATATAAAAGTTTGTTGAAAATGTACTCATCTTCAGGTCATCCAAGATGTAGATGAGTTTGTTTCTTCTTCTGAACAAATTTGGAGAAATTTAACATTACTTCACTTGCTCACCAATAGATCCTCTGCAGTGAATGGGTGCCGTCAGAATAAGAGACCAAACAGCTGATAATCAGGAGAGAAATATGCACAGGTCAAGCATTGTTTAAAAGTGAAAACATAAAAAAAAAAAAAAAAAAGTTAAAATTGTATTGGTGGATTTTGATATGGGAGGATAACAGGGGATAGACTTTTTCACTGGATCAAGCATTATAATGGATTATTGACTCATATTTGGTTTAAAGTTAAAAGATAGTGTGGATTAATATTATTGTTTTTAATTAGCTGTTTGAACTCTCAGTTTGACGGCACCCATTCACTGCAGAGGATCCATTGGTGAGCAAGTGATGTAATGCTAAATTTTTTCCAAATCTGTTCCAATGAAGAAACAAACTCATCTACATCTTGGATGGCTAGGTAGATCCCCTTTGTAAATCTGTAGATACCATCGTGGAGTTGTACCTGCCTCCAAAAAGTTCATTAAACCCAAATGGTAATCCTAGAACCTGCCCTAACCCAAAAGGGCAACCTAATTGCTGTGTTTTTATAAGGTTACATTTCTGGATTGGTGCCTTGAACAAGGAGGGAGCGAAATTAGAACCTGTTCCTTAAAACTCAAGCATTTGTGGTGTACATTTCAAGACAAGCAAACAAGAAAACTGTCAAGCTCTTCAACATACTGGTCAGGGCCCGCATTCTTAAAGCTTCTAAGATTCCTATAAGAAAGCTCCTATACTTACTAAATCAGCATATTAGACCGATTTCTGAAGGGTCATGTGATACTAAACACTGGAGTAATGGAGTAATTCAGCTTTACCAGGAATAAATGACATTTTAAAATATATTAAAACAGGAAACAGTTATTTAAAATTGTAATAATAGTTCACAGTATTACTGTTTTTACTGTATTTTTGACCAAATAAATGCAGCCTTGGTGAGCATAAGAGACCTTTTTCAAAAACATAAAATTTTTTTAATTATTTAAAACAATTGAAGTTTAGTGCATATATTAAAATGCAATAACTACTAGTACTACTAATAATTGTAATATAATTATAAAAAATAGAATATACAATTTTATATTACATTTGTTTTAGTATATTAATATAAAGAACTAATAATACAGGTAAATATAATAACACTTCTCTTGCATTAAATATAATAATTGTAAATAAAATATTTTTTTAAAAGATGCACGTAAACCAGTCTATCGAATCACAACATATGAACATGGGCGTTTTCAGTGCTGAAATCCTGAGATATCTTAAGGATTCATTCAGTCTTCAGGCTCTTTGTACATATCAATAATCAGTGAACAGGATATAAACTACTTAATCCTGCCTAGAGTCTCCCACCCTCAGTGACTTATGGTCCATGCACTCAATGACTCGAACACATATGCTCAACAAGAGCTGTGCCCAGATTGACCAAATCTGAGGTTTCTGTAAGGCTCAGACTCAAGTCTGAAGCCGTGTGATTTGCAGGAAGGGGAAGGAGACCCCCTCCCACAATCACTCTCCCCCCCCAAACCTGCCCCTGAGTGGCCCCTGCCAGGCTCTGTTTCCAGGAAAGGGGCCTAGTGGACAGGCGCAGGGGCCTGCGTCAGGGAGAGCCTGGCTCATTGAGAAAAACAAAAACAGAGAGGGGAGGTGGGAAGACTCTCCCTCCTTACATAACAGTCTTTAGCAGTGAAAAAAAAGCCTCTCTCTCTACCACTACCGTACTTGAAACCCGTCTGTCTGCTCTTTACACAATGCCACACCCTATAGTAGGGCTCTGCTAGAACTTCAGCATTTGGGACGGTTTTATGTATTGGACAGAAAAGAGACTCTTACTTCCTTTAATAATTTAAAGATTGCCAGCTGGATGCTCATTAGATGCATTGAGCGTGGAAGTGACATGCATGTGTCAAGCTTGCAAAAATTCTTACTGCTGTGCATACATTTTAAGGTGAACACAAATAATAGCTGGAGGTAAACTGGATTTTGCAAGGCATATGTGTAAAGAACATGTAGTAATATTTATTAGGGTCTTAGAGTTCAGAGGCACATATCATGCTCATACCAGCAGTCTATGATTTTTGACGCTTTACTGCCTCCTTGTGGTTACACTAAAAACTAAAAAATATAGTAGACCATTTATTGTGTAAATATTTTCAAAGTAGTTCTATGAGCAGTTTTATGTGTTTTCAATATATTTAGTCATTTAAAAGGCGTTTTAATTCAAAACATAGCAATCAATTTATCTTAATAATAGCCAATGATATTCACAGTTATACAATGGCAAAAAGTGCAGAAGTATGATGC